CTTCTTTCCAGGCGTTTAATCAGACTTGGCGAGTAAAAGTTTCTCTCCCAACCAATGAGTCGATCCTCGACAACTTTCTGCTAAATGAACGGGATATAGAGATAACGGAGATGAGAAAATTCTGGATGATTAAATTTAAAGATTTTCCAAAGATGGGACCATCGATTTGCACGTTGATTGACAAACGGTGATGGATCCGGTGTTGGGTATGCAGCGGTGACATTTGGAGTGGTGCCGTTTGGCCGCTGACCGATCGAATCATCGATAAAAATGTCAGGGAGAATGAGATGGCCAGGTTCGTTCCGTTTATTCGAAAATTTAATCGAACGCCTCTTAACAAACGAGGAATGTTTGAGTTGTACGCGAAAGTAATTACGTTTTCGAGCAAGTTTTATTTCAGAGACGATGCGAAATCGATTAAATGCAATTTCGATCGAAATAATTTGATATTATTAAATAAATCGCTTTTTCTTACCACGATATTTTTCTATTCAAAGGATACTTTGATTAGAATAAATATAAGAAAAGTTATTATTTGAATGGGTAAGTTATAAATTCGAGATTCAATCAGGTTTTTACTCCACCGATTTTTACCCTCTTTTCTTCCAATTTTCTTTATATCTAGCAGCATATTGTCGTATCTAGTAATTATTTATTTTAACATAATTGATATACTTATCACAATATTTATATAAACTATTAAAAAGGATCAAGATACAGCCATCTTCACTCTCACATCTCATATTTTCCTTTTCGCTGCAAACAGACGTTCCCTTCGTCCAAATTATTCAATTTCATCGATTCAATTTACCAACCAAGGATCCCACGCCTCCTCCTCCTCCTCCACTAATTAATCCATAATCGTCATTAAGTAAAATCGTGCTTTATCGGGCGGAGCTTCAACCTGCGCGTCTCTCCACTTCGTTGCCACTTACTTGATCGAGCGAAACCACGAAAAAGCAAATGGTGGCTCCGTTTCACACGAAGAGGAGCGATAACCAAGTCCCAAAACGAAAACCAATCGTGCTCGAGTTCGTGACCGAGTTCGCACCCCCGAGCTCGTTCCTCTTCGTCTATTCCCCACTACGAGCGGATAAACTCCATTTAAGCGTGGTTATCTTCGACCCCGAAATATATATATAATAAAAAAAAAAAAATATGCATCCATGTCTCTCTTTGAAACCCAGCTCCACCTAGTAAATCGAACAAGTAAATCGAGCGTAAGGTGTCGTGGCGTGTTTTTACGTCGGTCGTTATCGCCCTGGCATTTACCTTCCTCTTCCTTCTCTCTCTGTCTCTCTCTTTTTTCTTTCTTTCTTGGAAGAAAATCGTACGAAACGAGGACGTTTAAACCAGCCAATCTTCTCGGTTGGAAGAAACGGGACGGTTTTAATCTTTTCCTGGAGACAAGTGGCCACCACGTCGATGAATTTTTCCTCGACTTCGTCCAACCGTTGGACGTTCCAATTGTGACTTTCCACGCTGCATTATCGGCCGATGAAATACCATCGGAGTCATTGGTCAGCAGGAGATTTTGTTATCGTTTTAAATATTTCTCGATCCGATGCAACTCGAGCGTGAAAGAGATTATTATCGATTTGCAATTGGAGAAATGGCGAGGCTGGAAATTTTGGAAGAGGTATTTCCTGAGGGGATAATAGGAAATTTTCTGAAAATTAAAAGAGAGAAAAAAGGTATCGAATAAAGGACAACGGATGATAGAACAATTTGTCAAGCAACATTCCTATGATTATTAAATTGTTCTCGTCGTATTTGAATTTGAATCATTAATCAAATGACTTTTTTCCTTTTCCTTAATAGGGGCTCGTATGAATTATTAGAGAATTTCTAAAATGCATAATGAATTCTGAAGCAATTTTGATTATAAATATAATAATTCGCTGTTAATTATTGAATGAATTATTTAATTATTTTGTGCCGAATATTAACATACTTTGAATCACGTTACATTTTATATTATGTATATTATATATGAATGAAGAGTTCAGCAAATAATAGATGGAATTCGTGTCATTTAATATAGTTGATAAGGAAAAGGAAGATAAAAGTTGCTGATACAGAAAAATTGTTAGAATTCATCTTATGAGAATCGGTGTGAATTGATACGAAATGAACTGCACGATGTATATATTATTTAAATGAAAGGAAGAAATTTTATGTTAATTAATTATTTAATACGTGAAAGAAAGGAGTGTAAAAAAAAAAAAATGCGACGACCTCTCATTTCGTCCAATGCAAACTTCGATTATTTATAATTGATTTAAATAAATAAACTTCAGTCGATATTTTTGCACATCATTTTGTTTTGTCTAGAACCAAACGATTTTCAAATAAATTAACGCCATGTGTAAAGTATTTCATGGCAAGCCCGAAATATTTGTCTCTTCTTCGAACAACTTGTGAAGCAGCAACAAATTCATCGTTGTCTTAATGCAATTTTCTATAATGTTTCGATGGTTCGTTAGACACAATTTGCTCGTCGAGTGAACGACTGAAAATTTTCTTGTACGTCACAAATGTACAGGAAAGTTTGCAATTCAATTGAATAATCCACTATCGGTGCGTTTCTCGAGTAACGACGGTTGTACCATCGATATATTTCTAAAGATTCCGTCGTCGAAAACTAGTAATGAGACATCAACGTCACGAACAGTCGGTTCCTTAAAGCTCCCTGTTGCGAATCGGGGCTAAATTCACTCTTTTATATTGACGACTAAGCGCTCGAGGAATTTACGATTAAATTTCAACGTGAAAGATATCTTAATGTGAAGAATTATTTCGAATTTTCTAAAAATTATAAAAGAAAATGAAAGTTAATTCGATATTTAAAAATCAAACTTTAGTTATTTATATTTATCCAGATAAATTACACATAATCTTTTTTCGAAATATGAAAAATATCTTCTGTCCTAGATATATTCTTCGAGACAGTACATTTATCCATTTTAAAATTTATCCATTTTCATTGTGGAAAGAACTGAAAAACAATAATTTAGAATTAATAAAACAAAAATATTAAAAGTATTAAATTTTTATATTCTAGAAAAAAATAATGAACAGTAATCAATATTAAATTTTTTACAAATTTTAAACGTGAAATTAATTTTTTAAAAATCTTTTAAAATTGTGCAAAAATTTTCTAGTCGTTACGAGATGGATCGTTTAATCTATCTTAAAATTGAAAAATTATGCAATTTTATATTGTTAAAGCATTTTTCTTTTTATAATTATTAAAAAGGATCGACAAAAAGGAATTTAAATTACGCGAGTTATTGCCTTAAGGTTATAAAAATTGTCTTCGTAATGATACAGGATAAGAACTTGTGATCATTATTGCAAAAGCATTTACTTACCATCTCAAGAAATGCATAATTAACTCATTTATCAACTCTAAGATATTACGATTAATATCACAGACAAGATAGATATAACATTTTACAGGACTGATATCACTCATTATGAAATATTGACATCAAAAAAAAAAAAATGTTTCTTATTTCCTCCGTGATTACTTACGCATATATTTATTTTATATATCTATTGTATGGAGGCATCTGATCTGGAATTATTTTTTTAATTTATATAACATATAATTATATAATACATAATTATTATATTGATATATATACTTACGATATATAAAAAATTAGATCGAAAGAGCTCTGTTAAAATTTCTAATCAATAAGCTAAAGATTAGAATAAAATTATAATATTGGAATCTCTTGAGTGTATAAAGTTTGTACAGTAAGTGCAACAAGGAAAGGAATAGTAAGAGAAGGACAGAGATAGGATAAAAATTATGAAATCAGCGCCATCTCTAGAGTGCCGCAAACGAAACACATCGTAGAGAAAGAGAGAAATAGTAAGAGAAGGATAGATATATGGTACAAACTAACACTTAGCGCCATCTCGTGGCGATCAAAAAAATATCGTTCCGAGAATACTCAAGAGATGGCGCCACCCTGCAACGTCTACTCTACCTTCTCGACTTTGGAGTAATACATTTGGCGCTCGCCGGATGGCGCCATTTGTTAATTCTCACTCTACCTTTCCGACTTTAAAGTATCTTTGGAACTCGCGAGATGGCGCCATTTGTTAATTCTTACTCTACCTTTCCGACTTTAAAGTATCTTTGGAGCTCGCGAGATGGCGCCATTTGTTAATTCTTACTCTACCTTTTCGGCTTTAAAGTATCTTTGGAGCTCGCGAGATGGCGCCAGCAATCAAGCTACATCTATCTCCATCTTTCTTCATCTATTCTCTTTCCTTGTTTAAATGTAGTTTACTTTGCGGCACACTGAAGATGGCGCTGAATTCACAATTTTTAACATATCTCTATCCTTCTCGCACTCATTACCTATCCTTGCTACGTTTATTCTTGGTACATGACTACAGACGGTACACGGGATGTTAATTAAACACGCTTTCATCATTTTTTTTTTTAACTAATTATATATAAGCATATATAATTAATCTTAATCTTCAATGTAAATATAATATATCCTAATATATGACGATTTTGATCTAAAAAATTAAAAAAAGCTTAACAATAACGAGAATAGAAAAAAAAAATAGAAAATTGCCGCTATTGAAGATTTATTTATCTTCATATTTATCTTTCATCATTTTTTTTTTAAACTAATTATATATAAGCATATATAATTAATCTTAATCTTCAATGTAAATATAATATATCCTAATATATGACGATTTTGATGTAAAAAATTAAAAAAAGCTTAACAATAACGAGAATAGAAAAAAAAAATAAAAAATTGCCGCTATTGAAGATTTATTTATCTAATCTATCCATTCGATATGTGTAAAAAAAAAAATTTAGTGCAATTAACTGTTCAAATATAAATTATCGAATTATACGAAGTAGAAAATTATAGAAACGAGCAAGGAAATGTTCTTTAAATACGCGAGGGAAAAATTCTCTGAATTCTCACCTGTTATCTCACAAGTTATCAAACAGTCCATTACCATTATCAACCATGGTAAACTACGATTTCAAAGCTGCAATTTTTATCGTAGAACGATAAAATTTCGTAAATATATATAATGTGTATATTTTCCATAATATAATATTTTTACAATTATTTTTTTTTTTTTTTCTTAAATAACATAAATTCGGAAATTCGTTATACTTTTGATATTTAATCGTTCACTAAATGCAAAACGCTATCCCTAGTAATACCAATTTCTCTTAATGTTATTCCTAATTGTTCCAATCTTCTCGGCGAATATCTGAGGATAAAAAAAGATAACAAATTTTCCAAGATTAAAAGTATGAAAATTTGAGACGAATAAACGAATCGTGAACGAATTTTTTACCCGCTGAGAACAATTTTGTATCCTCGAGGAACAGTTCTTGACATAGCTTTATCTAACAACTGATAAAGTCGAGCTATTGGTTCGTCGGCAGATACATGCACCAAATAGATAGTACCGCCATTCAGAGATCTGACTTTTAAACGGAGCTCGCCCGCTTTTCCCGATGGTTCATTGATCTGATGTAAAATCGGAGGCTGAAAAAAAGAAAGAAAGAAAGAAGGAAAGAAAGAAAAAATATTATATATCTCTTCATAAAATATATCGTTATATCGTTTCGAAAAAATTATTTCTCTCTTTCTCTCTTCTCTCTCTCTCTCTTACTGCATTCTTTCTGACTGGTACAGCGGATCTTGTTGAACGTTGACTTTTCCTCGTTATACCAGATTGGATTTGAGAAGTTGCATACTGTTTAACATCAATATTCGCTCTCGGTGTTGACCTCGAATTAATAGAAAATCTAGAGTTTGGTAAACTTGCAGATCTCGATCGCTGCCTGAATCGATCGTCGCCGTCCAATCGACTGAAGCAATAACGATATAAAAATAAACGGACACCTAAGAAATTTAATCGCGATTTAATCAGGATTTACTTGGGCGATAATTTGGACGATCTATCGGAGGAGCTGTGATAACATCTGCCAGAACTTGGAAATCTCATGACACCTTTAGACTTTGCACAACCTTCGCGTGTCGTGGAATCGTACTCTCCGTTCCTGTTATTCGGCTCACGCTTGTGGAACAAAGCAAATGTATTCGAAATATCACGTTAAGCGCGTTAAAGATGAAAATTAATTTTTCTCAAATCATCGACATTGAACGTCATCGTATCAACAAAAACTTTACTTTATCCTTTCGATTGCTCAAACCCAACTCGGCATTGATGTGGGATTGCAAGTGGGTGTCGGAACAGATATTGTTGTGAGACGCTAAAATCTGAGAGCGTAGAACGTACATCTCCAACGGGGGGCCTTCCGAGGGACTTTTCGCTTTCTGCGACTTGCTGAATGAAAGTTTCGCACTTTCGTCACGATCGGTCACGATCGAAATGATGATTGAATATCTAATCGTTGGTACCTAGTTGTGGGGGACAAGAGTTGCGCGTTGGGGTCGAAATTAGTCAGATTATCTCTGGAAGGGGCGCCACGACGAGCCATTCTCTGTTGAATGGTGGGAGGTCTGGTACGAGATCTAGAAATGATCGTGTTATTGGCCAGGCTTTCTTTTCCCAATCGATAACCTTGGCCAGGAAACTCGGACGTGCTCAAGAACAATTGGCTCCTGTGATCTTCCACCTGATAACGAACGGATACATCATCAAAACGATATTTTTCTTTATTTTTCTCCTTTTCCTTTTAATCGAAACATGAGAAAAATTGATAAGAAAAACGTCTCACCTTAAAAGGTACGCCCTCTGGATAAGCCTCTTGCAGCTCGGAAGGGAAATAGCCGTCCAAGATATCCTTAAGAAATGACGTCGTGGCTGGATCTTCGTAAGATCGTAGTGGGCCGTCTTGAACTATTATTCCATTTTTGTAGAATTTTAGCGACATGCAAGAGGGAGTCTTCAAACAATAATTAAACGACACTTTAATAATCGATCAACCGCCTACCATGTTATTAACATGTTAACTTTTAATTATTTAACAGCATAATTGTTATCTTATATATATATAAAAAGTATACAGATACAGAGAGAGAGAGAGAGAGAGAGAGAGAGAAGAAAAACCACGACTCTCAGTTGAAGGCTAGAATTGTGTCGCGACTACGTTTCCCCGTACTACACACGTGCTCGTAACTCGTCATTGTCACTCGTAACCGGTTTGTTCGATTAACGTCAACTGTCAACATTTCAATACGCCCATGCTGAAGGATCGACAGTGAAAATCGATACTCCTCGTTGATACGAGTGCTAATATCGCGATGTAACGCGGCCATTAACGCCCAACGTGGACGAAGAAAACGTAGGATAATTACGTAACCCAACGTTTCATCAGAGCGTGCAACGATCAATCTCGTAACATTCGACAAACAAATTAAAAAATAATTGTTTTTTCTCATACTCGTAAATTACGGTAAATTGCATAATTTCGAAAAGAGAGAGAGAGAGAGAGAGAGATAGGAGGAAGAATATTTACTTTGAACGAGGCTCCGTTCCCTCTCTCGTTATGTTGCACGTGAACTTCACCCTTGCCAGCGGCCAGGTTCAGCTGGTCGATGTTTGCGATAATCTGGTCGTAATATGTCTCGATGGTGTTGCTAAAAGGCACGGCTAACTGATCATTAATTCGATCGGGTGTCGATGGATTGAAATAGTAACGTATACTCGATTTACTTGAAGATCGTTTCAGGATACTTCGGGGAGTTCGTCGAGTTGCCAACCCAGATCAGACCATAATCGGCCAAGAATTTCTGCGAATACGAATGAAATTTAACGAATGATTGTGCGCGACAACGAAGAATCGAACGATACTTTCATCCTTTTTTAAAAAAAGAATTATTGAATTTTCGAAATTCTGTTCTCGCTAAATTCTTTCTGATAAATAATAATCCGTAATAATCCGCGCATTGATTAACCTCCATCTCGAAGATTCTCTGCTCGAGCATCAGACATCTTCTGTAGAGATATTCCGACTGGTCGGCTTGAACTCGTTGCTGTTGCTGCTCCTTCTTTCGCAAACTCTCCTGGTTCTTGTTCTTGATCTCCCAGTCCTTGATCTGCACGAATTTGAAATTTCGATCGCAGCTAAGATGAGGAGAATCGCGGCGAAAGACAAAAGGAACAAAGATGTCGAACCTTTCGTTTCATCTTGTAAATTTCTTGATCCTTCAATTTTATCTGCTCTTCGCTCCTCTTCAAATCGGATTGCGCCTTTTGCATTTGAGACTCAACCTTGTATATTTGTTTCGTCAACGCGCTGATCAACTCGCTTTCTGCGGCAATCGGTAGATTAATCGATCAGAATTAATCAGAAGGATTAGGCGGAAAGATTCGATCTCGAGCGAATAGAAACTTGTTCTCCGCTTCTCGAGAGGCCGTCCATGAATGTCCGTCAATGAATTAATTAATCCAATGGTTAATAAAATGGGATACGATCGTGGGATTGTGTGCGTCGAGCGACGCAATCGTTTTAATCACGTTTCTCTCTTCTTTTTTTTTTTTTTTTCTAATCGATCAAACGCACGATCACGGTCGATCAAAGAGAAAAAAAAAGGAAAAAACGATGGGAATAACTTCTTTGCTCGCTTCGCGTGCGAATAATTATGCTCAATAAAATAATTACCCTCTTGAATCACGGAATTCTCCGGCACGAAGACGTTTGTCGGTCTTGTATGACAGTTCCAAAATTTTCTACCACTAAATCCTGTATTAGAAGTCTAAGGATACGCGTGAAACAGGGAAATTACAGTTTGACGATTGATCTTTGATGGTACGAAGGAGGAATACCGGTGTTACCGTTTTATCGATCTTTCTGTCTAAATGATTAACATCTCTCTGACGTTCTCTGGGCACCAAGATACTTGTGTTTTCTAAAGAGGCACTTTTCACCTGGCTCACGCAATCATCGTCGTCCACTATGTACGTCGAGGTCGAGGAAATTCGTTTAAGCCTTAAGAATAGATACAAGGAAGATGTAGACGTATAACCTAAAAAGGCTCTCGTTTGCTCGCTTTAGAGTCGCGTTCAAATTGCAGTTAACGGATTTCTTTTCTCGATTGAAGGATGGGAAAATCGTAAAGCACGTTACTTCAATCGTATTTTTAAACACGATATCGAAAATACTTGTGATGCGGAAGAGTCGTAGCCGGACAGCACTTTGCGGATTTTTTTCGTGGATGGGCTGGATTGTTCGAATGGCTCATCGTGTATATGACGACATTTAGGACGAGTTTGTTAGCATTGACATTGGAAATTTATGTTGGATTTTCCGAAAGCAATTCCGAATGTTGCATTTACAGTACACGAGGTTCAGGAAGAGATCGATCGTGAACTTCGCAATTGGTGACAGTTTATAATCGAACGAAAGATCGATGAGAAGTTGACCAGTAATGCGTTTCGCGTCACGCATAATCATTTATTACCGCGAAATTCATTCTACGCTGAATGGCCTCGTTCAGAGAATTTTAATTGATGCTAATGGTTACAGTTTGCGCCACTCTGAAATGTACGGAATCCAACGTTAGAAAAATATCAAGTGGGGAAAAAAAAAAAAAAAAAGAAGAAAAAAGAAAAGACAGGAGGGAAACACGCAGAATTCTCGCTTACGCAAGGTAAAGCGACCGATTGATATACATATATTCTAAAATAGTTCGAAGCAGTGAAAGTACATGACCTTCTTGCCGCTTTGACCTATTTAAAGTGGATGTACGAATGATTTATTCGTTGGTATGAAGAAAAACGCATTATCATAGTTAATAGTTTATCAATAAATTAATAAGCATACAAAAGATATTAAAATGTAAATGTGAAAACAATTTCTCACATATATTTTACATCGAATTATATAACTTCTTACAATGATACGATGTGACGTTATTAAAACTCGATTTTTGCAAATCATTTTTACTTGTTATGTTAAATGGTGCAATGAATTTCCGTTTTTTTTTTTCTAAAACGTTACATATATTCTGTCTCATTCGAGGAATGAAAATATCTACAGATATTTTACGATTCAATTTAAAAGAGCAGCAATAAAGGAGGAAACAACATGACGCGACGCCGCGTGACGACGCAATGGCTTCGAATCGATCGGCGCGCGAACGTATTTGCCACTGGGTCACGTGACCATTGCGCCTCGGAGCAACGAGCGCAAGGGCGCCTCGGCGTAACGCCATAGCATCGAGTGCTCGTGATTCCGTGTGTTTCTTGTGTGAACGTGTGTTTCGTGGATCCAGTTCGAATGACAGCGAGTTCACAATTTACTTTGTTGACGAAAGAATGTCGGTGAACGCGTGAAACACAGTGTGCATACCCGTGCTTTCGTGGAAAAATGTGAGGGCCGGAAATTTGCAACACTTTGCCGGAAGCAAAAACAGACCGGCGGTGAGTCACTGTCACTATCGATCATTTCCTTTCTCCTATTCCCATTTTTGAAAACGAAGGCCACGGCCACGTGCTGCATTCGTAATAGAGAACACCGTCTCGAACGGACATAACCTCAAAATTGTAAGAAAGCGTCGTTGCGGTGAGGTTAGAATTCGTTAAGCTATCGAAGATGTTTCATTTCGTGGATATTCATCTATATCGTGCAATTGGATAATAGAACAAAGTACAGCGATTGAAAATACATATTTCGAATGACGTAATCTATCTGTGATAACTTTATAACGAACTATTAATGTACGTGCCAATAAGTTATCGATAGCTGATTATCAAAATTGTCGGTACGTATTATATGCTCGATATTCTTGAACGATGTTTTAAATAATTCAACATTTATAGATTGTTCATAGCTATGTTGCTTTGTATATACGTTTTTATTTATAATTGGCTCCAATACTCCTATATAACCTTAACTATCTTCTAAACATATATTTCTTATAATCCTTCGTATAATCCTTATTTTTTTTTTTTTTACAGATCCTTCCTTTAGTTACAGAATCAGCATAATTGTCTGTGAAATTAGTTAGATGAAAAAAAGTGAAGAAAGTGTTTCTGTTAGCATATTATCTATCAATTAGAAAAATCCACAATACGTGTATCTTAAATATTTTAAGTTGATTACATAAGCAAACTGTTAAGTTGATATAGATACTTAGTTTTTCGAAAAATTTAAAAGGAAAAAGAAATAATCGAAGAATCGAGGGCGACCAGTAATATCACGAGGATTGATCACATGTCTAATTTGATGCCGGCCGGCTCAAGAATTTCCATCGAGCGAATCGTGTGACCCGACTTACTTATACAGTTTAATAGGGTCAACTTAGCTTAAGAAATAATTAAGCTTAATATAACCGAGTATAAAATTCAGAAGACGTATATTTCTTCCGCTTCACGCAACGATAAGGCTTAGTCATTAAATAATCGTGGAATTGAAAAAGATTATTTGCTTTTCACATATTGCTTTTACCTAATTATTAGATTTGTTTTTAATAACTATCATAAATTAATATTTATCAAATTAAACTTGAAAACAAAATAGAAATTAAACTTGAAAAATTAATAGAAACAAATATCACCCTTACATCGAGGAAATACTCACTATGAATTCATATAATCTTATGTACTAAACATTTAATAATAAATACAATATTACCATTATCTACAGTAGCACTAATGATACACTTCTAATTAATCTTGTATCGTATTACAATTATAATAGTTTTCCAAATAAAAGCTTAGACAATATGGTATATGAAGTGAAATATCAAGTGACACCTGTTGTGCGTTCATGGTTCATGGATTCAATGTAGATAGCAAACGAATTGCGTCTTCCACGTAGACATTAATCGATCGTTGGAAATTGACTCGTTTCATTGTAGCGACCTTGCGAATTCACGAACGATGTTCGTGACAAAGTATGAACGAAAAAGAACGAAAAATTTTCATAAAAATTAACTCAAACAATTTCGAGGAAGTTCTTTCTTTGCTTATATTGTTATTTCCATTAATGATTTATGAGCAAACTCATATATAGAAATGTTTTGTTATCCAATATATTAAATATGTAATCTTATCATCTTTTAATGGTTATTTTGTTACTTATTATGTTAAAAATTCTTATTTATGTTTAAGAAATATGTTTTTACTCTAAACTCGATTTTTAATATTAAACTTATATTTAATGTTTAATGTTTTTTATAGTAAAATACTAAAATAAAATTCGATTGAAATCAAATCGAAATCATTTTTCGAATCATTTAGTAGCTCTTCACGATATTCGCGTGTTATGAGATTTTCAATTTTAAATTACATTCAATTCAAACTCGAAATGTGCATCTGTTTTCATGAAATCAAAAACAGCAAGAATTCATCGTAGCCATAATAAAAGCAATTCCAGTAAAAAAAAAGGCATTCGTCATCCATCAATTGTACAAACTTATGCAATTTTGTGCACATTTGATGCAATGCCAATTTTTCTCAATATTTTTTCAAATAAAAAAAAGAATACATATATCAAAAGTTGCACCCTCTTTCGCAATTGTTTAAACGGAAATGGAAATATTTATCACGATACAAACAATTCCAATTAAAAATTAATCATTAATTCTATAAATTTCATATAATTTGATGTCGATTTTTTCAAGTGAAAAAAATATACGAAAGTTTCTTTTATACTCGATTGTCTAAATGCAAATGTTCAAATTAGCGAGGAGATTTACCGTGAAAAAAGGATGAAAATTGTGAAAGAATAAGCACGTGATCCATCGTTACAGCCCTCTATATACACGAAAACTAATAAGCAGCTCGGAGGATTATATATCTCGCTTTCGAACTCCAATTAACACCCATTATCCTTTGTCATGCCATCCATTGTTATTCGATCACGTTGATATAATATCCGGTCGTCGGGAGAGGCGTCTGGACGCATCGCCGCTATGTCACAAGCGAGATATATTAGCAAATACATATTATAGCCGGAACGTCATTGTCATCATCACGTTTCCTCGTTCGCGGTTATGCTTACAATCCTTGCGAACTTCCTACCCGGCTGATTAAAATGTGATAGTGGTGGGGCCTGGAAGATAGTCAATGCCTCGTGGTTCGGTCGCTTTTCAGTGTCGGCCGTTCTCCTCGTCCGGGTTGATTTCTTCCGTACTTCATCAACTTTAGTCAAAAGGTCTGCTCCTCGGACGTCAGTTGTCGAGCACAGATCGACTCGAACGCGACATTGCGCTTCGTTTCGACGCGAATCTCTTTCCATTTAATCTCGAGATATATATACTTATTCGAGAGATAATTATTAATTATCGTCTTTTTTTTTCAGCTTTTTGGATATTTTATCGATAATATTCTCTTTTTCTATTTGATACGTGATTGATTATTTTTGTTCTAAAGGAAAAGAAAAATTGGTGTTGATTTATTTGTATTATTCGTTTTCGTATCACGTATACTTGTGATATTTTATCGATATTTGGAAAATAAAGATTGTGAAATTTATCCGTTATTTTCATAAAAGTTCTCGCGCGATTCGACGAATGGTGTAAACACTGGTATTGGAGTTTAATCAGGAAGAGCGAAACTTCATTTAGCCACGTGCTTCGCTGTGAGTAAAAATGTTTTCCGGTTTTATATTGTGCTATGATAAAAATTACATGTTATCCGCAATTACATGTTAATCCGTTTTGTGTGATTTTGTAAGTTTGTTTTTTTTATTTTGCCAATTGCGAAAATATGCATAAAAAACGAGATAGATACAGGATTAGCAATGTAAAACATTGCCTTTTTATATGAATATGTGAATTCCTTGCGTATCAATATACATACTTTTATGCCTCGTCATTATTAATTTTAATACATGAATTCTCATAAAAATTTTAAATCAATCGGAGTGGCAAATCGTGTATCAAACTGTTGTAGCATAAAGATAAAATAATATCAGAAAAAAAAATGAAGATTAAAATTTCAATGGAAATATGATATATTATAGAAATAGATAACCTCGAGAAGTAAATACTTTTCGTACTAGAATAAAAAAAAACAGCCTTCGATAAAAATTCGTCACAAATTTTTTATGAGCCAATAATGTGTCTAGTAACCTGAATTATGCGGGAAAAATGTACGAAGAATTCGAAGAATCGTATTGATTCCTCTACTCGAGAAACGTTATTCACGCGATGCAGAATTGATCTTCGTCTAATTATGAAAGTACGATCGATTCATTAAGTTAAGGTGATCGTTTAATGAATATACGTAATGAGAATTTAATACCAACGTTCGATTATATAATTCCTATATAAATAAGGAATAAGTAAAACCAAATGGCAAAGCTGTTTTACTCGAACATTGGATGACAATACAATATTTGAATCGAGAAAATTCCCTTCAATTTCAATATATACTTTCGAATCGAAAAAATATGCATTGCAATTATTTTATCGCTCATCATGATTGTTAAATTAACACAATGAAAAATATTGCAAACAGCGTGATATTAATCGTCAAAGAATTTGCAGAATGAATTAAACGTGAAAATTGGATCGGACGTGAATATTGGAAATGCTTACAATGCAAATTTCACTGATTTTATTCCTTTTAGTGGTCATAATAATCGTAATGAGAAATTGCTTTTGCATTATTCAGATAATATATCGTTATATCATTGGCCTAGCTATCGATATTACCAACCACCATGTTATCTTACGATTATATACATTTTATACGCATGTATATATTTTTTTTTTAATCGCAATTTAATTTTGTTCATTTGTATACCTCAAATTGGTTACAAAGAATTACATTCATTATTGATAAAGATATACAAAGTAACAACGTTGGATTTCAACGTTTAAAAGTAATATGAGAAGTTAATATATATACTTATTGTAAATTTTATGTATTAATTCGTAATCTGATGAGAATATTTGAGATTGGACATGATTAAATATTTCCATTGCATTTTCTTCGTGGCTATTGGTTCAAGTTCACTTTTCACATTCATTCGAATTTTTAAAAAACTCCTGTCCGATTCTTCAACCGGAATATTTCAACATATATTCTACGAAATATCTAATCTTATTTTTTTTAATTTATTATTCTCGTTCCTTCGAATAATAAACAAAAGAAAATTCCAAACGAATGCATTCGAGGATGTGAATTGGGATTTTTATTATTTTTCGTTAGTAGATAAAAATGTTGAGAGTGAAAGTTACTATTGGACAGACTCGACGTAATTGTTCACTTATGAAAAAATTGTTGAGAGCAACTCTCGATCCTAAGACACCTAAAAAAATATATTTTTTACGAATGGATATTGCGTTGAAAGTAACTTTATTGTAACTTTCACTCTCGTCGAAATGTTCACCAACTGAAGATATAATTCCACTATTGAAAATATAATTACAAATTTATTACATCTCGTAAGCAAAGTCGGATGAAACGATACATAACTTTTTCCTCGTTATTCTCGCAATACGGATATATTCTTCATTTATTATATATTATCCTACATATGAATATAATATAATTTGCAAAAAACAATGCGGCATCGTCTCATCGAAGGAATGCAAGGTCGTTCAGATGATTTTTTTTTTTTTACCTTTTGCCGCGATATGAGCTTCGACCTTTCGCGAATTGATCATGAAGATCGTTGAAATGCTATATGAGTTTCGTGTCGGAATTTCATCACGCCCCCACGAGTTGGCTATTAAATTCTGAACATTCCTCCATCGATCTCTAACAAGAACGCGTTGTTCCGGAGAAGGGATCGAGAAAAATTAAAACGGTCACGCACGTGTAAACTTGGTGAAAAATTAGCTCCTTTTATCCACTTATCCATCTCCTATGATTTCTTGCTTTGTCTTTTAACTTTCGGGAAAGGAATTTGCCGTTGACAAACGCACAATGGAAAAACACTTATTATTATTCCTGGCGAGGGAAATAGATGAGAAGCTAACTAGGATCAATAATTGCTATTAAAAGGTTTTATTCGCGTGGTTACAGTCGAATTAAAAGTTTGATTGTTGCGTGCACGATCTCGATAAATATATGGATTTAAGGAAGTTGCATAAAAATACAACGTGGCATTATTGCAACATTTTTAGATAAATGTGTCGAGGGTATCAATTATAGTTAATTGATAAAAAAAAAAAAGAAAGAAAATAGATAAAGTCTTCCAAGAATTTTTCATAGAATTTATAGCATTATTTATAGAATCGCACGGTTTCATGCGAATAGATTAATAATTGACTATTTAAATAATATAACAGATGTCTGCGATACGATAATAGTAATGTATAGAGCTTAATAGTTAAATCGCCAAAGCGATTTATTCATAATGTAATGATACCTATTAATGTCTATTAGCGTTTTACAGTGATTTTCAAATCGCATTAATTTTTTTTTTTTTAATTTAAACCGTCTATCAATTATCCGAAGCAATAAATGTTAAAAGATAGATTTTCATATCTGGATTTAATTTTTTCACGTTTTGTTTCTCTATCCTTAGGTGCTTCGTTAGAAAGTTCTTTTCGATTGGCGAACAGCGATCGATCGGCATAAAGATGGAAGAGTCTCAAAGGTAAGGAACTGGTTGCTCGTCGATGCAGCAACTGTGCTCATAATTGCTCATAAATATCGATTATATGATGAATATATTGTCATTAAACTGTTGTTGAGACTTATACGTACTTATATCACGAAAACAACACAATAAAAGAAAGGAATCGAGTGTAAACGTCCATTGAATATCGAGTCTTAAGTTAGGATCGAAGAATAAGTGGATTCGGACGATCATCCGTCAAACACATCGAGTTAAGAAAATTTTTTCTTCGCTTGATCAATGTCTTCTATAGATGTCGACGAACGTTTTTTTTTCATTTTTTTCTGTTACAATTGTCCAAAAATCAGGAAAATAGATAAATGCAAATAATATGTGCGTTCGTTTCTTCACAAGTGATACATTTGCAAATAAATATCTCTTTGAAATACTAATAATTGTGCAAAGAAATAGTGCTTTAAACAAAATATTATTATGTTATATAAAAAAAGAAGTTATATTATTTTATATAACATGAAATATTAAAAAACTCAACTTTACTTCCAATTTAACAAACAAAAAATGAAAAATAATATGCAATTAATTTCGATTCTTATTACAACTATCGAGTAAAGTTGAAAGTAAATATTTTCTTAACTTTGTTAAAAAAAAATCTGTCAAAAAGAAACAATCCAAATCCGTTTTCTCTTTGATCCTATTTGACCGTATCGCGATTGACACTTTTTCATTTCATTTTGCCCTCCTTCTTTTCTTTCGTTCTCTATAATTCAATTGATTCCTTGGTTTCTATATAAAAATATCAATCTATTACGCAGATACGAAGATCATACCATATATAAGACACGATCACCCTGCAGCCTGCAAAAACTGAGAGGTAAAGGATTAACTTCAAACTATCAAATCGTAAAAGATCGTACAATCTTTGTGCATAGAAGTATTGAGTGTATCGCGAAAAAAAAAATAATAAAAAATAAATATTCGAGTCATTAGAGAAAAGAGAAATGTGAAAGTTGATAGGTTTTAAGATGATGATGGCTCCGATCAGAGAACACTTTCGCGTTTCCAGACATGGTGCCGGCAAGGGTGGTGCTCTACATGCTCTCCTTCTCGGGGTTCACGGTCTCGTTCATGATGAGGAACGATATCAACATCGCCATGGTGGCGATGGTGAAACCCCCATCCATGACATCGGACACCAATGTCACTGTGACGTCCCAGCATTGCTACGTGACACCGCCAACGGTTATCAACAACAGTGCGCCGATCAAACTTGAGGTAAAAATCGGTGATAAGACGAAGTTAATAAGAATAAGAAGAGATCTTGGCGTGGACGTGTTAATTGTAAAATCGATGAAACATTGTGTATATTAATTTGAAATGGATAGCATTTCGCAGAAGCGAAAAATAAAAATTAAATTCAACGATTTAAAGTTGAATTAAATCGTTTTCTCTTCGATCTTGGTCAGTTTCTCGAAAGATATAAGACGTTGTACTTTTCTCTGCTCTGTAAATGGACAATCAGTTTCTCGAAAATTGATATCTGATTCGTAAAGAACGCAAAAAACATTCTCTTCTGTGGTGTGTGTACAATGGACATCAGTGTTTGCAATGACATTGCACGATTACGTTATACAGATTGCAATCGATTACAGTCGATTGTAATTAGAAGTTAAGAAATCTTGTTCACGTAACGTCACGTTCCTTGATCGGTGTTCGCGAAAAATACGGATTATGAAATCTTATTAACAGCAGAACTTAATAATCGCTGACGCTCGTTAACTCTTTCCGCCATTGGGCTGAAACTGATAGGATGATTAAAATCACGATCACATTACGATTTACTAAGACGTGGTTACGAAGTTTGCACGTTCTTATGCAACCATAACGTGGAATTATCGAATAGAGATCACAGGTTGCGATTTTTAGTCGTAGTAGTAACTTCTACGAATCCTGTAATGCAAAATTGAAGAGTGGGATAGATTAATTTATATATCTATATCTATATCTGTACGTAATAATATTTTGTATTAATTGAATTAGATTCTTACCAAAAGAATACTTATGATTGTAAAATTAACAAAATTTTTCTCAGGAAAACCAGATCGAAACAAATATCGGTTTTTAAAAAAATTTTTACAAATGATAATAAATAAGCAACTCAAAATTGCGAAAATATTTTTCTTCTTTCTTGGAAATTTAATTTTTCTTATCGATAAGCATTGTAATTATAAATAATATGTGCTTTATCTACATAATTTTTAGATAAAAGGATGATAAATAAAAGAAAAATTTATTTAAAACAACTTTTTCATCGATAATGAACAAAAAAAATTCTTTGTCATTTACAATAAACATTTATAATTAAAATCGTTTTGTAATTGAAGAAATATTTTTATATTATTTTTTTCATTTTGTTCGTTTTCATAATTCCTTTAATTTACTTTAATTTTCAATGCACTACAAAATGAAGAATTTTTTAGATACGTTAAAGTGTATTAATAAAGATATATTGCGAATATTTTTACCTTTTCGTTTGCAAAAATCCTCATTTCTGCAAATGTGAATTAAAAAAAAAAACAATTACGATATTTTTCTCTTCAGGATCAAGGGGAATTTGATTGGAGTCCAACTATACAATCCGCCATTAGCGGTTCATTCTACTGGTGTTACATACTGTCACAAGTAGTAGGTGGTGTGCTGACACAATATTTTGGCACGAAAGCTGTTTTCGGCGGTTCACAACTGATCACTGCTATCTGCAGTTTATTGATGCCTTCTGCAGCAGGAATTCATTATGGATTTATGATTGCGCTTCGCAGTATACAGGGTGTCGCGAGTGTAAGTATTTTTCATATCAAAAAAGAAGAATATATAATAAACCGACATCAAAGGAATTTTATACACGTATATTGCACTCTTTCAAAACAAGCCCATCATACCTGTGTTTAGGGACTCACGTGGCCCGCGATGTACGCCATTGTCGGACACTGGATCCCGCCAGTGGAGAGGTCACGTTTCATGTCTTCCTTCCAAGGTGAGTGCCATCCTCACTTGTACATTGTAGCGAAAATTCGACACGCACGCCGCCAGAAATAGAGAACTATAGAAATCTAAATTTCAATTCCGTCTGATCGTCATTCTTCCTTTTCTTTTTTTTTTCTTCCCCTTTTCTGTTTTCGTTTCAACGATATGGATAATGACTAATACAGTCTGACGCTTCTTTCAGAATAGGAGAAGCGGAAGTTCGAATGAGAAGCACATTTTATCCTATAAGAAAAGAGAAAAAGATAAACGAAAGGTTTTGTTATTTTCAGTCAAAATTCACGGATCAACATATACACATATAATACGTATTATTATATACGTTGATTTTGTATCGAGAAAGGAGCGGTTCTTTCATTTTCTTCTCTGATTGCTTTTTAAGCTCCACTTGGTTGCATTCGCCGGAACGAGGGGTATACTCAACAGCAACCGCTCAACAGCATGAGAAAGGCCCGAGTATACTTCCAGCTGGTAGAATCAGCCGGGCAATCGACGGCAACACGTTTTGTATACACGCTATTTCTCATTGTTATCTATTTTATACTGTGTCAGTCCTGCCGACCCAGCGAGAATTTATCGTATACGCCTTTGTTCACAACCGGCCGATATAATAATCATCCTTCTCACTCAAACTTACCGGAAATACGAATAATAACACAATATACGATGATTTTATCCTGTTTTATATATTTATATACCCGTGTGTATACACACATTTTTTTTATATAATATATATATATATATAATTTTTTTTGTTTCCTTTTCATTCGCGTCGTGACGGCCTAGCCTTGGTGCGTGCAGTATCTCTCTGCTATTGTCGATTATGCGAATTGTTTATGATCTTTTGTTTCGCTGATTATGCGTTATATTATTATTGATCTGATGTGTAACTTCGTTCTGATCGGTATATTGACGTAGCAGCAGAGGAATGCGAGTTCATATGTGTTACTATCGTCATGAAACACTGTACCATGTTAATAATCAAGGCTGGATTGAGATAAGAGAGAAAATTATATCCCTCAAAGAGATTCATGTATGATGATCCAGTTTTTTCTCGAGTCTCTGTTTATTATTCAGATGGATAATTGCACAAAGATGATTCAATAGTTATTCATAATTGTAATTGGAAAATCTATTTATCGAATTTTTACAACAATATTATTCTTTTTATATCCTTCTCAAAAAAACACTTTTAACGATTCTAACGATCATTATCTCCATACTTTGCAGAGAATCTCTTATAGATTTGTAATTTCTGATATATCTTCAGACTACGATTAACTTAGCATGCTGCTCTTTCTTGATCGTATTCTCATGATAAAACGATGATCGATAAAGCATTTAATAATTATTGAACCATCCATGATATTGCAATAAAAAAAAATGTCAAACGAAAGAATATGAATCTCTTTGATAACTATAAATTCAAGTGAAAAAAAGAATTCAGGAGTGAGTCGGTTCGAAGGCGTTCATTGGCGCTCTTGATATAGTTTCAGGTATAGAAGTTTCATTGTTCCACAGTAGACACAGCATCGTATCGTGCGCTCATCCTCATCCCGTCGTACTAAGTCACTACTTGAATCGCTTTACAGGGTGAAATATACGCCACCGCTGAAGAGCGATCGTCGCCACGCATGTGAATCGTACACGAGCCAAGGCGAAGCCATTCGACAAGCATCATGTTTCAGCTTCCTTCCGGGTTGTGGGGTGAGCTACTCCTAACATCTAGATTATCTATATTCAGGGTTCAGCTTTGGCATCGGGTTAACCTATCCACTGTGCGGATTCATCATTGCTCACTTCGGATGGAGAGCTGTCTTTTATACTACCGGCAGCATCGGTATGATCTGGTGCTTTTTCTGGTACTTCTTCGCCTTCGACACGCCGGCCTCTCATCCCCGAATATCCCAGCAGGAGCTACGATACATTCAAGGCAGTGTAGGGAACCAAGTTAGAGACGAGGTAAACCAAGCCAAGTCCGCGACGAATATTCGAATATTCTTTCTCTGATCGAACGCGTCGAATTATAACAGGAACGACAATTTTAAAACTATAAAAATTTTATAAATGCACGTGTTAGATGTATGTTGTTTAAAATTCTTCCAATTTTTGCACGAGGAATCAATTTCTGTCTGTGATATATTTTGTATTTGATTAATTCTTTTCTTTTTTTTCTTGTTCGAAGAGCATGCCAGTTCCATGGAGGTTCATTCTTACATCCTGGCCAGCATGGTCGATCGGAATAACTACGTTCGGCAGGATCTGGGTGCATTATATATTCATCATCTCTGGACCAATGTACATGAAAACAGTTCTAGGATTCAGCATCCAAGCGGTACACGCTTGTTCTTCTTATAGTTTTTTTTTCTTATAAATTATATCGACGACGAGATAATTTTTATTATTATTATTTCAGAATGGAGTACTGTCTGGTTTACCATTCATCTGTAGCTACTTCAGTTCTGTTGCATTCTGCTATATAGCTGACGTTCTGATCACACGACAGATTTTGTCGTTGACGAATGTCAGAAAGGTGTTCACCGCCTCTTGTACGTAAAATTGCTTAAAATTTTGTAAAAAAATTCCTCGTCAACGCATCGCGTAACGCCAAGATTTGTTTCGCAGCTCAAGTAGCTCCTGGTATAATGTTGGTGTTAATTGGCTATCTGGGTTGCGACATAGTTCTCGTTTTAGTGGTCTGGTTCGTAGCCGTTACTCTTATCACTGCTGCCTATGCAGGAGCTATGGCAAATATCGTCGATATAGCGCCAAATTTTGCTGGTAAGTGGCTAATCAAATATTGCGAACGATATATTTGCTGAAATATTTATTTATCACGTGGCTCGTTGCTATTAGGACCAATATTGGCGTTTGCACAGACGATTCATATGTCCGCCAGTTTCTTATCTCCCATCGTAGCTGGCCTCCTCACCCAAGAAAGCGTGAGTAAAAATTTTATTTCATTTTGTTCAATTGAACTACATTCCTCGTTCGATTCGAATCCTTTTCCCTCTTTGATCGTTACCTTTCATTTGAAACCACTAGATTTCCATAGATTAATCCCACTTTTTTCGTGTACTCGATGTTCAATCGAAAGTAACGAGGAAATTCAATTCACAGCAAGCCCTCGACGCATGGAGGCAAGTATTTGGGGTGACAGCTTGCGTCGCGTGCGCTACCTATATCGTCTATCAAATCTTCGGTACGGGCGATGTCCAGCCGTGGAACTATCCTGATCAAAAGTATCCGCAATCGGTACAAGAAGATTCTCAGCCCTTAAACGAATCACCGCAAAAGAATGGAAAAATTGTCACATCTCTGTCGAGCATGTCCGAAGAAGCGTAACACGATCGATTTCTCTCGTTGAACGAAGAAGCGCAAGAAAGAAGAAGCGCACGGGTTACGTGACAGATATTACAAGTATTTCTCCTTGGATCTCGAGGAAGAGGCAATCTAAAATTATATATACATATATATATGTATAAGTTGTCGACGCGAAAATGTCTATTTTTTTTTCTCTCTATATATCTATGTAAATAGAGATGATAGTATGTAAACGAGGAGGAGTTGATATAGCACTCAGGGTAATATAAGTAACGTTGTAACGTTTCAAAGAATATTTTTATGAAGATAGTCTCGGGTAACGAGCAAACGCTTCGTTTATTCGCCAATTCTTGCGTTTGATAAACGTTTGTGAAACGAAGTGAAAGCACAAAAAAAAAAACAAAAAATAACGATCGATTGCGTTCCATTTCTCACGATCCGAGACGATTATTTGTTCATTTGCCGTCTCTGTGATCAAACTTATTTCTCTGTATTTCCCATCTAATAGGGTGGGATGGATCTCGTAGAACATGGAGCACCAAAGCAACAGTTTTCAAGGCTGCAACTTTTAACACGTTTTCTTTTTTCTCAATCTCAGAAACATCTCTTCGTGAAATTCTAAAAATTAGAATCGATAAATTTGTTCAATTTCGTTTATTTTAATTCGAAGATTTTTCAACAAAAGACTGATCGATTTTTTTCTCCGTGATATATATCTCTCCCAAGTTTGGAAGCCGTTGCTCTTTGTGTTCTTTATTTTTTCAATATCTCTCTAATATAAATTAATAATTTAAAAATGACTTAATTCATAGGATTAATTCACGATTTTTCCCCCTTTTTTTTTTCATTATTACTATCATTGTTACGTGCTCTACATTGTTTGTAAAATTTAATAAGCTATTATAATTAATTCTTCTTTCTACAATTTTGCCGGTGACTTTATTAACTTATTAACTTATTAAATCGATATTTTATCTACTTGTTAGATGCGTAAGAAAGGAAAAGAGAAAATCCAAATACGCTGTAGAGTTAGAAGTAGTGAAATTTATAAGATGAAGAGAAAAAGACAGATAAATTATTATATAAGTATACTACACTAAAAATTGATGCCTTAGTCACAATTCTTTTTGAATTCAAGAGAACACGTAATACACTTACTTTAGTACTTATATTCTGCGATAAATAAGTCTCATTGTTATATCATTGTTAACATTTACTAGTCATGTTTCGTTGAAAAAAATTGAATATTTATATACTATAATGTCCAAAAAAAAAAAAAAAAAAAAGAAAGAAAGAAAGAAACGTTACATGAACATTTCACATATGAAAAAATTTTTCGTGAATCATCTAGAACTAGAATTCATTTTTTCAATACATTTCATAATTCCATTCGTGTAAGTTATATTAGGAGACGATGTTTTTTCAAGTATTGTAATTTTAATTATTTTTATATTGGCGTCGTTTAAATAACGATAAGTCATGTTTTTTTTCTTCGTTTGTTATTTATAAGTATATATTTTAAGGTACACACGGATACTTAATAGTATGTACGTGTTGTTATGCTAAAAATTATATACATATATTGCGCAAAACTAAAGATGAAATTAATTAAAAAATTAAATATTGCGCAAAATTCAAGATGAAAATGAAAATCTCTTGCGTAAATAATATGTGTACAAAATGAATATCTCTGCGCGCATAAAGAGAAAGATAATAATTTTTTCTTTCGTTTTAAATCGAATAATTATATGTATTTTCGTATTTTTTTTTCTGTGCCATCGATGCGATCTAAAATTGTAATTTCAGAATTGTTTGTAATTTCAAATCGAATGAATACACTCATAAGTAAAACGACATTTGCGATACGTCAAATCTTAATAATAAATCTCAATGATCATGAGGCTATCGACGAACTTTGAAGATGTTTATAAGCCATGATCATTTTTCAAGCAAATCGTTACATTATTTTGTAATCGAATCACCACTATAAAATCTATGCCACAGAGTTCTTGATACGAATATATACATATAAGTAAATGAAAAAATATATGATACACATATAATTTCAGTAAATGTATAGCATTATTGATTATTATACCTTGCACGCGTATCGATACAAAATTTCTTCATTTTAATTTTACTTAAAATTATACTTTGTCACAATTGTGCACAATTTTTATCATCGAATTATATTAATACCAATAATTGTTTGCATCATGCAGAAATTATCAAAAGTTGATCCTAAGATAAATCGAATGATACAATGATCTTTGAATACACTTTGAATAACGTCGTTGGATTCGAGGAATTAATTTGTTTTTTTTTTTTTTTTTTTAGTAAAAACAATCAAACGATAAAGACGATAGAAACGAGTTAAAGAACGTGATAAATGGGCACAGAAAAAGAAAGATGATATCACGTTCTTATCCACTCGATGATATTCATCTCAGATATTTATCGCCATTTTGCAGAAAATAAAGTGTTAAGTAACTCGTTTATTATTATTAAAAAAAATTGATCGACGACAATTAGCAAGATTTATGGGCTCGTAAATTTCATATTTGCTTATCTTTTATAACCAGAATTGAATTAAATGCACAGAAAGAATCATAAAACGAACTATTAAATGTATATATGATTTTTTAAACGTTTATATTATGTACGTTTATTTTTTCTGCGATCTTTTATTATTAAATCGAAAAAAATATATTTGTTTATTCTATCAAGTTGGTATATATGAAATTTCGTTTCTCTGGAACATGAATTTAATGGACTAACATCATTCGTTCTATTTTATCCAATTATTATCGATAATATATATATATATATATATATATTTCTGCAAAATATATTCTAAAATTAGAATATTCCTGAAATTTTTTTTATTAAAAAGTGAAACACGATAATTGATAATTTTTACAATTTTTGGACAATGAATAATTTAACTAAAATGTTTTCGAAGAAAACACTACATTTACACTCTAAAAAAATCTTGGAACAATTATTTTGTTTTATTTTATCTCGTTGTTTCTTCAAAATTGGAAAAAATTGAAAAGAATTTTGTATAATAAAATGACAATTTTATTAAAAACAAAAGTATCCTAAGATTTTTAATCGTCATTCTAATTGAAAAATTATTTAAATATCATATACACCAGCTCAATAGAAAAAAAAAAAAGTTCTCCAATTTATATTTAAAATGCCACACATGTAACATCCGCAACAAATTCAACTATTCCGACATATTCCAAGAACTTTTAACGAAGGCCAATCTTCTTCTTCCACACTCGAGTTCGCCAAGATAAATTCACCAAAGATATCCCTCCACGTTGTAATAAACGTAACAAAGCGTAAGAATCGCGCAATCACGATTTTGAAGAAACAGCGATTTCGAACATCAAAATTTGTTCATCCCATTAAAAAAAAAAACAGACAAACGAAACAAAATGAACATGATAGAAACTGGCTACTGGATATTTATACGATCCAGCTGTATATAATTCGATAAACGTTCGCCTCGATTAACGTAAATAACGAAGAAGTTGAATGAAATCGAGCTATTTCTCGCAATTATCTTCTCTGCGTAGCGATATATTCATCATTTGGATTTAAGACCCAATTGAGCGGTCGATCGACGTCACAGTGCGCCGATACGGAAAGATTAGATACGTGCCGACCTAAATATCTCGTCTCGTCGTGGTGCACGATATCGGCGGACACCGTGTGATAGAGAAAAAAAGAAGGAAGAAAAGAGAAGAAAAGAAAGAAAAACGAGGAAAGGAGGATCAACGCGTGGGAGATGAATGGTACAGCTATTTCAGGAGCGGCCTGTTCTAGGTCAAGAACGGCGAAGAGAATGCTTCACATTCGGGAACGAGGAAGAAGATTCGAATATTCAAACTTCGAACATTGCGCGTTACGAATCGAGGTGTCATTCGTCCACGTATTGGCGATCGATTTCGCGGCGATATCGAATCAGATATCGCGGGGACCATTCGCCGCGCCGAGAGCCAAGCTTGTTTATCGAGATATCAACACGTATAAGATATAAGAAGAAACGGGCAAACGGCAGCCAGTGTTGTGCTGAGTCTTGGTTTCGATGGTCATACGAAACGATCTTTCTAAGTAAGAATTATCACGGCACAATTATTAATTATCAATTATCAGAGAGTGACACAAGCGCGGACCAGACATGCGGTAAGCAAAATATTTTGGTTTCGATTTTGAAACTTGGTGAACCGTTGGAAGGCTGTTATTGATTTGATTTGCGAATCATCGTTTCTTCGCAGGATTTGGGTGTTGTTAACCGTTTTACTGATCGTCACGATTCTCGCATCCGACGTATTCGCGAGGAAAGCTGGCAAGGAGGTGGAGTCGAAGAAAAGGAACGAGAAAAAGAAGAGGGATGTAGAGTATGCAAAGTGAGTTTTAAAAGTGTGCATGGCCAAACGCTTGAGCGCGACGTAACGGCTCTAATTACGCAATTGTTTTGCTCTCGAGATCGGCTTTATCTTCGTCACGGGTGACGGGCATTGAAAAAGTATCGATTTTTCCCGAGTCGCTATGTTTCAGGGAGGAGAGGTGGAAGGATGGAGAAGGGAAAAAGTTGCAACCGAGGAAGAGGAAGAACAGCGCATCCGAGGAGAAGAATGTGGAAAATTATTCCGAGAATCTGGTCGGAAACGAGGAATCGGAGAAGGGTCACAAGTCGAGGAACAAGAAATTGAAGGAGAAGGAAAATGTCGACTTTAAGAGCAAGTCTAGCTACGAATCCCCGAAGGGGAAGTCTAAGAAGAAGAGCAAATATTCCGAGGCGTCGCAGACAGTTCATGAAAAGGATTCGAAGAAGTTGAAAGACGAGAAAGTGAAAGAGGAAACGGTCGAGGAGCAAAACAATGCGAAGAATGAGAAGAAGTCGAAGGATAAAAATGTGGACAAGTCTGAGAGGGCGAAGAAAGATGGCAAGAAGAAGAAGAAGAAGCTTGGGAAAAAGGAGAAAGAAGTGACGGTGGAGGAAGTGGAGAAGGAACCGGTGGAAGTAGAAACAGAGGAGACTAAAAGGAAATCGAGGAAGAGCAACAAGAAGCCCGAAAAAGGTAATCACGAGAAGAATAGGAAGAAACGAGAGATACCGAAGAAAAGAAAAGAAGAAGAGGTGGGGATAGAAATAGTGGTGCCTGAGGAGGAGATCTCAGAAATGGACACGTTAGACGGAAAAAGTTGTCCGATAACTAAAGAGATCCAAGATGAAGAAATGCGAGAGGATTGTGAGGACGAGAAGTGCAACGAAGCGAAGTGAAAAATTTAATCTGAAAACATTAGGAATCGTCGTATTAATGATTCAATAATTATATATCGAAAAGATGGCCAAATTTCGCACGAATCAATGATGTTTACCGGTATTCACAGCAGCCAATACAATTTCTCAAGTCTTCCATGATGATGAGCCAACGATTTCACGCATTATGCGAAATTTCATTTATTATTTAATCTCTATGCATATCAAATCGTACTTGTTACGTTATTTACAAATAACGAATTTTTCGACAATAAATCGTCTTAATTTTACTCACCTGCTTGGAGCGCAGGTTAATATAAATATACTGTTAATCTTCGAGATATACGTACACATTGAACAAATAAATATTTTTATAAATTGTCCTTAGAATAATCTTACTCAGAAATCGAAATCTTTTCATTCGTAATTACTTCGACCCTCAAAAGTCGCTTTCCATCCCGTTCCGATATTATTCACGGATGAAATGTATTTCACGATCAAACGATTGCTGGTGGCGATGAACGGTGCTGGATCATCCTGAAGCAAATAGAAATCCAGTAGAAAAAAAGGAGAATCATTATCTCGTTTATTTTGTCTTTTTTTTAAATAGACTTTTTTTTTTTCAACGATCCACCGTACATCCCAATATTGACTTACCCCTCCGCAATAACTGGTGGCAAAGTCTTCCATTCCGTCAGACGTTACATCGTAGATTGAAACAATATTGTAATCATAGTTACAGGTGCTCTTCGAGCCAATGTCTAACACTGTGAATGTTAGAACGACTTTCAGTCCACTTGGCACGTTAATATCCCAAATACAGTTCGTGTTATTCCTGTATTCGTTGGGGTACATAGGCGATGTGAAGGATCCGGCGTAATTAAATATTTTTCCACCACATCCACGACCTGTGCACGATCATTTATCGAATCAAATATCAACAATTTCAACGAATTTCAAACGATTGTACAATTATTCTGGTGCAGATTCTTCCCAGTTCACTCTTTATTATTTTCATTCGTTCGTATTTATTCTTCACACACATACACGCGATCTATATATACGAAATCTTTATCTGTTCTCCAATGATTCTCAAACATCGCAACATTAATCATTATACAAACATTCAGTTATCTCAAATACTGTAGTTGAGAAATTGCAAAGTAATTGTTATAATCGAATATATTACTCGATATCGATAAATTAACGTATATACTTCTTTTATTACAAATTGTTCAACGTTCTTGAAATTGTGCAAATTAAAAAAAAATAAATGCATTGTTATTGGAAAAAATAGAATATTTTTCGAAAGAGAATTGGAAAACAAGAAATGAAAATATATATATATATATATATATCATAGATTAAAAGCATAAGCATCTTTTTCGTTCAAGTTCTCAAAATAACACCACTTATATAAAATGATATGAAACTCACTCTACGTTCTTACCTGCGTTCGTGGTGGTGTACGTGATGTCGTAGTATTCGTAGCTAGAATGCCACTCGGACCAGGAACGTAAACTCAGTTTATTTCCGGTACTGAAAATAGGACTTGGCGTATCTATGGAGCACAATGACGCCATCAGTTTACCATGGAAATCACCGTCGAACACCTATGTGAAAACACAATGAACGAATGAAAACAAAAATTTTCACACGAATCCTCACGATCTTACGCGAAATTACAGCGATACTTGCATTTAGGCCGGCTTTCGTGCAGTCGGTTTGATCGTAGAGCATGAATTGATTGAAGTAGAGAGAGATCGTGTAATTCTCGGGAGCGGTGATCGTGATCCAACAGTCGTCGATACCCTCGTGCACGATTCGACCTTGCAACTCGGTGAAATTCCGATCGCAGCTCGCCTTGCTGTACTCCAACTTGAAACCTTTGTGCCCACCTTTAATACCGTTGAACGTTAAGTCGAGTTCGGTGCTGTAACTGTATCAAGAAGAAGGAAGTTTTCAATTTTTCGAGAAATTTTAACGAGAAAATTAAACGATCGTTGTTTACCTGTAGTAATCGTGAGGCAAACCGTTGCCGCAATATTTGTACGCGGTTTTCGGCATGAATTCATTCTGTAAATTTTTTGTTATATATTAAAATTGTAAGATAGATCTCGTAGAATGATATTCCACGTTTCATTACCGAATAATACGATTTGCCCGAATTTCCACTCCAAACTAAGTCCTGGCCAAGTCCTTGCTCGATGTACTTTCGATTCTGTGTGTGATACATGCGTTTCATATAATTGCAACGACGTCCTCGAATCAAATTCTTTAATAAATTACCTCTTTATCCGTGATCTGAAGGAAATCGTCTTTGCATTCGCGAGAATCAGCCAGATCGAAGTCTAAGAATTTTATTCTCATTCTTTCGAAGTAGTGCACAAACTTTATCGTCCAACGACATTTTGTGCCAGGCTCGTAATTATTCGGATAATTCGGTGATGTCAATACGTTCCCCGAGCCATTTATTATCGGAGAAATATAAGCGCACAGTGCTGAAACGATCGAATAATTCACTATTCTCCCATTAAAGACAAATTTGCATAATCATACGAAAGATAGAAGAAGAAAACTGGAATATTTATGCTCGTTCAATGATTAAATTCAAAGCGTTACTTAATTGCCATTTCATTAAATGAGTTTACTTTGAATATTCACTTTGGATGAACTGGGAACGAAAAAATTCATCTAAGAATAAACGATTAGATTTGTATATCACCATCTATTGCTTCTAACGTTCCACTGACTCCAGCTCCTTCCACCGTTCCATCGCTGTAAAATCGTATCAAAAGTGAGTTAGAACTCGATAATATAGGAGGTGGAGGTTGGTTTCCACAGTATCTTCCGAGGAGCTCGCTAAAAGGTCCAACTCCATCGCGAATCTGGACAATGGACGTGGAAAGAAATATAGAAACAGGATAGAATAAAACTGACAGGTCAAGATGAATGAAATTTCACCTCGATGTAATCACCGGTGCACCCGCTGCCCGTGCGATTAGTATTGTTTCTAACGTCCATGCTATTTATCGTGAACTTGATGTTCTTCCCCTCAGTCGCTGACACGATCCAGTGACAATCCTCCAGGCTGTCGTACGTCGAACCTATTTGAGTCTTGAACGATTGACTCGAAATTAAATTAATATTGCCACCGCAACCCGCGCTGATGCTTTTCACGAATTGTACCTGGAATATTTAAAATTTTCTTTGGATAATATCGGTTTTTCAAGTGCAAAGAAAATGAAGATAATTGGAAGCACGTAAAGTTTACTTTTATGGAAAATCCAACAGAATGGCGGCTGTCATCCGTGTGGAATTTAAGCACCATGGAATTAGAATTCGACTTGATGACAGGCAAGTTTTCCGTGAGATTTCCACACAATACAGCTATTTTGTTTTCGTCCAATGCTTCCGATCCATTATAGATCTGAAGATTATCGAATATGCAACTGCAAAATAAGATAAGTGTTATTGAAAACTTGTTATTATTATGTACATTTCCTTCCTAATTGGAATATCATGTAATCATACTTGAAATTGAACTCGATATCGAAACTCTCGAAACGAAGGACGACGCTCTTGTCCGATGGTGCTTGAATTTTCCACGTACAATCTAGCCTTCCGAAGTATTGGTTACCATTCATTAAAGGCTTAATCTCTCCTGGTGTTGTCAACAATCCCCCGCACTCTTTCGAGACGAAAAAAGAATATATAGCATTTATTCAAAGTATATAACATCTTTTAATAATATCGTTTTGACGAGTACCATGCAAGTAATACTTGAATTCAAAACCACTTCGTGCAAGATAATTATCGGTTCTGAATATGATCTCCACCGCGTTTGACGCTCTTATTAAAGGCGGTTTTTCTTCCCCGCACCAGGTGTTCTCCTCGTTCATGTATCCATCTTGATATTTAATCGTCACGTTGTCGTAACGACAACCTCTGCGACCTAACCAGAAACGTTCAGATTAACATTCGATGAATTTCAATCTTGATTGAGAAATGTAGAGAAACAAATTCCTGCTCACTATACTCGATCTGGAAATCCATAAATTTGACCAGAATGTCTTTGTCTGGGGCCACGAGTGTATAATTGCAGAAGAGATTTGGCGGATACGAAATCGGATACGAAGGTGACACGATGACCTTTGGATAAGTGGTGACGTCGAAAATTCCACCGCAATTTTCGAACCATACGGCGCGGAATCCGTCACCTTGGACCGCCTCGTTCGAATGGAAAATTACTTTCATGCGATTGCTCGTCGAATTAAATGTCAATGGCGTGTGTCGACCGCACACCTTCCCGAGATCCTTCCATGTTCCAACGGAGGATTCACCCGTTTCCTTGACCCAGTTGAATATCTAATTCGAGAAAATCGAGACGATTCGTTCGACTCATTTAAAATTTCTCTCGTTATCCCAACAAGCATCATCATCATCATCGTCATCTTTTCTGTGTTAAATGTCTACCGCTTCGAATTAAATTTATTTTTGAAATTGAAACAACGAAACAAAGTTGATCGATGCAACTCAAATTTATCACGAATCTCGTTACAATGCAATCTCATTGTCGTAATACCTGTACGTAATCCTTCTCGCAATTAGGACTGCTTTCCAAATGGAAACGGTCAACGAACACTAGGCCGATGCTGTAGCCATTGTCCGCGGTTATTTCCCAAGTGCATTCCGCGTTGTTGGGATACACCGAGGGGAAGCTGTGAAAAATATCACAGATCATGAGCTAATTACATGTTTAAACATAAATCAACAATAGCAAACGATATATATTGCGAATCATTTCAATTACTCGGGCGACGAGATCTCTCGATTCTTGCCACGCAGAGCACCCCCGCATCCGTTATTCGCTGGTTCCAGGGTGAACTCGAAATCTGTCGGCTCCTCGATTGCCACGAACTCGATCCACATTTGGCTCCACGTGCTGGTGAAGTTGTACAACTGCGATATTTCGCAGAATTTACCGATCTCTGGTGAAAACGGTCCACCGTTCCTGAAAAGAAAAGGGATGACAAAAGTCTAAGTATGACGTTTCATCCTTAAAATTCAATCGTATCAATCTGTCTAATATCTCAGACTGAATAATTAATATTGCAGAACTTTGGCAAGTGTTGCGTCACAGAGAATTTATGTAAAATACGATTGTTTTCTTTTTTCTTTTTTTTTTATTACCTGATACTCAAGTAATTCCTGTCACAGTTGCCCAAATGTAATCGGTTGAAACGAATTGTGATGCTATTCGGATATTTCGCGTGCCAGACGCAATTGATAGGATACGATACATTCTTAGGCGCCTTTATCACGTGCGACATTCCGCGAAAAATACCGCCGCAAGGTTGCCATTTGTATTCCAAAGTGAAATTC